CAAAATAACGTACACGGTTTTGAATACCCACTATAATTTATCTCTGCTTATTTGATTATTACTGATATTACTAGCAATTAAATTTTAATTTCTTGTTCAGGTTCCACCATACTTCTTGTTTCTTTATAATTTTCATCCTAACAACAAATTCATGGCCGACTAAGGAAATATATGACTGACTATCGGACTAAAAACTCAATTTGAAAGCACGAAGTTCATATTTCGTCCAACGTCCATATTTTATGAGAAAATAAAGTTGGTGGCGGAAGGCGAAAATCCAATGCGGCGTCCATAAGAAAAAATTAAGCTTTTGCTGGAGGATATGAGACGAAACGTCATATTAGAATTAAGTATGCCATCTTGTGAAGGAGAAAAAGTGGCAATGTTAATGTGCAATTTATTTTCAAATCTCATTTCAAATAGTAAAACAACGATTTTGGGAAAACTTGGCTTTTTCCGTCTGTCTCGGGAGATACTTCAAATTTTAAGACTTTCTAAGCGGCAATTAGGTAGCTACCTAGAGACGAAACTTTACACCCATTTAAGCAACTTCGTATCCCTTACTGTTCCCGAGATGCCAATGGTGAGGGTCGAACTTGAAACCGGTATGTGAAGCACCCATAGGTTATGATAATATAGCTTTTGACTAATAATAGAGGGATATTTTTGATGAACGATTGTCCTTTTTGATGTAGGCAAAAAACTCCCGGAGGTGGTGATGGAATTCAAGGTTAAAACAGTGGACCTTCGACTAACCGACACAACTATTACTGACGTGCTCAGTAAATTGCTTGCAGTTTGGGTTCTTGAATGGAAATTGGATTTCTAATACTCAAAGCGCCTATATAAAACTTAGTTTATTATGATGTGGACATACAAACATTTTGAAGGAATCTCAACTGCACCAGTTTGAGTACGGCGTTTTGAAAAAAGTGTATTGCGCTGATCTGAACGACACACTTGGGAGAAGTTCACTTGTACTCTCTCCTCTCTTCTGAAAAAATATATTTGTGCCTAAAAATATGTTTTCTTGATCTCCGTTGCATATCGTCTACTGTGTGATAAATAATTCCCTATTTCGTCTAGTTTCGAAAAAAGATTTGTTAGTCCTGTAAAGATTTACACTGGCAGATTTGCGTGAAGTACGTCCATGGCTAGCATCATGAGGCAGCGTCTATCGTTTGAATATTAGATTATCTCTAACTACTACGGAAGCTATATAATCGACACCGTTACCTCAGAATTCATGGATTCGCCGTCGCTCCGTGTTTTCATTCTATCTTCCTTACCGTTATCTTATTGTATAACACATCAACTGTCAGGAGTGTGCCTACCATTGATAAACATACAAGTTTTTGGTAAAATATACTGAAATGGATCTATATATACAAGGCGACCCACAAGCCAATATCAAAGTCACACATCAATCATATTTTATGTGACTACACATATCAAATTACAGTTCGAGACCTTCACGTAACAGATGGTCGAGCGGATGTCTTCGGACAAGCTGTAGCTGAGCAGTTCAATCACCGATGGCTAGAGGTGAGCGAATTTATTCTGGCAACGCGTAGCTGAGCCAGCTAACGTACGCTCGGTGTAGCAGATGGTCTGTTACGTGGAAATATTGAGTTATTCAGGTTAAGTGGCAGTCTACTTGAAATTTTAAGAATGTTTATCACTTTGTCACAAAAAATAAAGGAAGCGAACGCATTCCCTACAATCCAATGTTGTGCTTTGAAAAAGGTCAGCGATGTGGGCAAATTGTCAGTAAACCTTCTGACTCTACCTCTGTGGTTTGATTTAGCGACGGTAGAGCATCCCAATCTCAGTTCCCATTTTTTGCTTAAATTTTCAAAATATACCTGGACTTTTATTAAAACTGAGAAATACATACAACGAATTGCTCAAAAATTGTCGGGAATTCTTCCAATCTGAACACTGGTTTTACCGACAAAGGAAATATCTGGGGTGCTGAAAATCAAAGGAATAGTTATTACTGTGTTTGTGAATGTTTCTGGTTCCCAGCCCCAGTGGCCAGTGAAGACTTTAGGGACCACACAAAACATTTTATATTGCTGTAATCATATTTTTATTACTTTTTCTGTATAATTTCGGAATAGATCCGTATTAAAGCATGAATGTACGGATACAATCTACCTGACACCATATCATTGACGTGCTTGTGCATGTAGCCAATGTGTTTTCAAATAATTTCACTCTCAATGGAGTTAGCGGTATCACAATTATCTGGACAACTCAATGTTTTATTTTAGAAACGTATAGCGGCCTACTTGCTACTCTAGTATCAATTTTATCTCACCTGCTGAAAATAAATCAATAAGCCATCTGTCGGTTCCTCGTTTTTAAAATTCTTTCCAGATCTCTAATGTCTATTTGAACGGACGATTTGTTATACTTTCATGTTAATTGCTGGCACTTAAGCTTAATATGTATATATAGTAAAAGTGAATATAAAATGACAAAAAGCGAAGCATTTAATATTTTCCACATTTCGACTTTCATGCGTTACAAGAAAGTGGATTTTGTTTGCCTAATAGAAAAACGTTTCTATGGAGAAATCTAATTTTTTAGTATGATTTTACATGATATAGATATTTCTGGTGGAAAGTGGTGGCTCGGGTCTGCTTAGCTAAGATATACAGAACGAAAAAGTGGCACAAAGCGCAGCCTAAGCAGCAAAATGTAATTATCTACAGTTTTATCATTATCTTGAATCTGCCACCCCAGTTTGCAATAACCCTTACCAACAACAGCCAGCACATTGATGGATGGTCGAGGTTTGCCATGAATCCATTCTTTTGTGATTGTGTGTGATGAGATCACTGAGGGCATGATTTAGCACGAATGTCAGGAAAACGTTTCTTTTGAAATGAAGCTGGAACATCACTTAGGACTAGAAAGCAGTTTGGTGCCAACCAGACTGTCTTCATTATGTACAAGGTTCAGATAACACCCGACCTATTCACATTTCTGCTGTACCAACTATATGATAACAAGGTATCTTCATCCCATTTGTAGCACTCGCAATTTCTCGACGAGTAGGCTCTGCTTTCGCGACTGCTGCAGTATACAAAATATAGACGCCATTTAAAACAAAATTGCTACTATATTATCGTAAAGAGCTTAGATCAGATACGTAGTCAGATTTAATATTGCTTCCTTCTCTAGTAAAAACAATTATACCAAGGAATATAAAGCTCTCCACTTTTACCGGCAATATGCCAATGTGCATCATACAGAAGTAATTGCAGATGAGTAATTATTTCATACGCTAGGCAATTAAACCACAGTAAAGCAGCGCATCATTTTCAGTGAACCATAAGTGAGCGGATAAGTAAAATGAATGTGCTTCGCGCACATCATGTTATGTAGTGATATAAATAAGACAAACATTCTATATGGTCCAGTGTGTATCCGTGCAGCGTTGGACTTTGATACCTGACCAAACATGGCGCCATGCAATCGGCAATTCAGATGATTCAGAAATTGTTTTCCCTGTCTATAATTGTGTGTTAGTTGCGAAATCTAAAACCCATCGGTTTCAAATCTCAAGATTTCATCCCTATTTATCATTTACCAAAAATTGGCATGCGTCACAAAATTTACTTCTTATTCATACCACGGTTGGAAAACTAAGGATTGGAAAAATTCAATTATTTAGCTTGTAAGGCTCCATACGATAAGCAATTGATTTGTCAATGTTACAGTGCTATCGAAAAAAAGCAGGATTTGCTTTAATGTATACACAAATATAAATTGATAGTTCAAGCATTTAGGGTGCTTCATGCATTTGGGCACAGTTTATATACGTAATAATATCCAAGGTACGATATAGACATGGTTTTGTCCCCGAATCGTCGTTAATTTTGTAATAAAATTAATTTGACAATGTTCGACTGTCGCGGCAACTTCCAGAATATTCAGCGTCAGCGTCAAGCCGGCAACAGCGCTTCCTGTGATCGCCCCCTCCCAACCTGTGTCCTTCAAGTGATACATTCATTTTGCAGAAGTTGTTACTTATGATTTCGTATGCTTGAAACTGTTATTACATAAATCACTGTTCCTAGGTAACACTATAAACTTGCGATCACATTTTGTACCTTTGATGGCATAAGTAAATTGATAGCCAACTTACATGCTTCTGACATTTGTTGGCTTTACTAGTGGCGGCACCTACATAATCTGCGGGTACAACCATGAGCAGAAAACCAATTTATATGAATGTCTGGAGTCATTATATGGTATGTTATGTCATCAAAATGCTGAGATAATCCATATAACATTTATATAGGGTTTTATATGACATTTTATCATAATATTTTAATTTTCGACAGAAACAAAATTATATGAACATTCAAAAAAGTGATTATAACATGATACCTTAAGGACATTAAAATGTTACTTGGAGATCTGCAAAGCTCTCACCGTTCCGTCGTTGAAATATCGAGCCTGGAAGCTGAAAAGGCCATTGTTTCTGACGTAATTATGTTTTTACATATTACTACATTCCATAAATTATATTGATGTTCGAAAAGTTGACAGTAAACAACTTGAGGAGCAATAAAACGTTACTGCAGATTAAAAGTCAAAACTGTAACGATGGATTGAAATGTTTAGCACGAGAACTGATAACTCCACAGATTCTGCCTTTTGTGCTTGGCCGTTCGGCACAGAACCCGGGCGGTCCACGTAGTCAGGTTTCATTGCAACTGGGCGACTTGAATGTGGTGGTACTACTGCTGCAATTAGACGATAGTCTGATAACACCTTAAATAAGTAGCATGTGTGCAACTTTCATAAACCTTTTCTTTTTGCTGGTTACTACATTACATGTTTTTTGACTATGTATCGATTAAAATAATTCCTTGCTAATGATATTTTACCTAGAAGATCACGTTAATGGATCTAGAGAGAGAGCACGTCGCAAAAACAAAACACTGGTTCATTGTAAACATTATGCCATTTTCCTGTTTCAGCATACTATTTGGTAGAAATACTCGTTCTGCTGTGTTTCAACGTGAGGCAGTCCCCAAGACACTTGAAGCATACTCATCAAGACACTAAATACCCTACAGACTATATCTTTGTTTATCAAAATTTACAACTAACAACAGCTCAGGGGAAGCCCCTACCTTGCTTGTCTGTTCATCCACTTATGTGGGTCAATGGACTTTTGTGCACCAACCAAAGAGAGGTAACATTTTATTTGTGTCACATGCCTATTACATATATATATATATATATATATATATATAGGTGAAAAATTAAAGCTTCCGCCTTTTGTTGGGTACTTCGACAAAATTTAAGCAAATTGGACTCTTTATACTTTTTTAATTCTCTCTAGCTTTCAATGGACTTTGCCATCATCATCAGTAGCTGCAATTACAATGATAACAGTAGCAACAATAGTGTAAAATGAATTTAAATTGACTTAACTTACAGTAGTATGTGAGGATGTTGCTAATTGTTGTTTACGTATAGGATGAGGGAAACGCCCAGTAACATGGTGAAAGCTGGATAGATGGTACAATGGTCAAAATTACATTATATAAAATATGACAAGAACAAGTAAAAAACAGATTAAAAATTTTTGAAAAACATGAAAGCATTACATCGTGAAGCCACTTGATGATTGCACAAAATGGTGGTCATGGAATAATGAGTGAGATGAACCCTTTGATAGAAGGCCGAAGGTTGTCAATGTCTGTGTAGAAAGATGGAACGAATTGTGGGCGTGTGCCAACGTTGCTAAATCACTTCAGATGATGTGATTTTCAGAATGTTATGTAAGAAATTGTTAAACCGACCAGAGGCAGTTGAATTAACTATATTTTAATTAATGGGAAATTAAATTAACAATTATTATTAAATCGTGAGAAGAAAATTATTAGAATTTGAGTGGAATGAAGTTTATTGGTGGAATCGACCAAGAAACAGATTCCATTTATGGTTGTGAAGAGTCAACATTTGGGGAGATATGTAAGTTCTCCAATTTTTCGCAGTTTAGCAAATATAAGTAAATGACACTCAGTTGCTTAACATCTGTCTTTTTGTTGATACAGTTGTTATTCATGAAAATGTGGGACATTTCCAGGAATAAACGTTTGGAAAGGTGTTTTTCTTTATCAAGAACTTTGATACTTGTGTAATTCATAGAATGCCCTGTTGTGTTAACACGAGATGCTAGAACGCATCTTTCAGGATGAAGCCTAGAATCACTTTTGTGTGATGTAATCCTTCCTTTAAGAGATCTGGAGGTCTGACCTATGTATATTTGGTTGCAGTTGTTGCAATGGATGGAGTAGACTGTGTTGGTTAAGCCAAGCAGCGAGACTCTGTCTTTCATTTTTGAAAAAATGCAGTTTATAGTGAGGACGGATTTGCAAGCAATTCGAAAGTTCAAAGGACTGCACAACCTGATCAGCTTAGGGGTCAGTTCCTTGATATAGGGCAGGACAGCAAAACCAGGTCTGAAGTCCGGGTTGGTGCTTGTACTGTTTGAATTAATGCTATTGTTGAGAATTTCATCAGTTCCGTTATTGGGGGTTGTGCGACTATTACCTGCATCATCAGAGTTCGGCAAAATATTGGAAGGTGATCTAAATAAGATCTTGTTAATCAGACACTTCGGATAACCATTATTGATGAACAGTTTTGATAGTTTACGTAAATTTGAGGTGTGGAAAGTATTATCTGAGATGCTGATTACCCTTGTTTTCATCTGTTTTACCAAGTTGATTTTAATCCCTAGCTTATGGTATGACCTAAAATTGAGAAACCGACCTGAGGCCATAGGTTTCTGGTACCAGTCTACCAATAAACTATTGTTGTTGGTGCGGATGAGTCTTGTGTCTAGAAAGGGGACAGACAGGTTCTCATCTTCTTCTTCAATGGTAAATTGGATGTAGGGGTCATAGCTGTTGAATTCTCTGACAATACCATCCAGACCTATGGAGGGGAGGCATAAAATAATGTCATCTACGTATTTTTTTATGAAGAAGAGGTTATAGGGTAGTGTCGGAATAACAGAATCAAGCAGATCATCCATTACATATTCTGCCAAAATTGGTGATAGAACAGATCCCATAGGACAACCATGTGTTTGAGAATATATTTTGTTGTTAAAAGAGAAATAATTGTTGTGAAAGAGGAATGTTATAATGTTGGTGAACGATTCTAGAGATATGTTGCAGTGTTGACTTATCTCATTCCAGTGTTTATTAATAGTTCTTGTTCATGCATCCAGATATATATTGCTGAATAGAGACACCCCATCAAGACTGGCGATAATGTGATCGGCTGGTATTGGCAATCTGTTGAACTGACGAGAGACCTCAAATGAGTCTTTGATGTAGTAATCATTATCTGCATGTGCTGATTTTAGTGTTGCCGATATTAATGAAGACAAAGCCTGGGTGGCTGAACCTATTGATACAACTATAGGTCTTACTGAGAGTACAGGTTTGTGAATTTTCGGAAGTGCATAGAATTTAGGAGGGACAGAGTTATAAGTAGTCAAAGTTCTTTTTTGCTCTTGGGTTATTTGTCCAGTGCTGAGAAGTTCCTTAACAATGTCATTACTTTTCTTTTCCACTTTAAGTGTGGGATCTATATTAATTTCATGGTATGATGGATCATCATTGATGAGATTGTTGCAGAGATCTAAATAGTGTTGTTTAAGCATTATCACTGTTACATTGCCTTTGTCAGATCTTGTAACCATAAGTTCCGAATGTTGTTTTAGAAATGTTCTAGTTTTGTTTAAAAGGTTGTGATAAAAGGAATGCTTTTTATTAAGATTGTTACTATGATAATAGTTAGTGATGAGGTTAGTGGAACGAGTTGTGAAAATGTTTCTTTCAGTGTCATCACTTATGGAGGATGCTATTGTGTCTACATCAGCTAGGATTGATCTAATTGGAATGTCAGTGTTAACAATCGGCTCTACACTGAACTTAGGCCCTAGGGAAAGAAATTTTAAAATGTCATGAGGGATGTCAACATTACTGAGATTTTTTATCCAATTTTGTTGAGTGTTGAGCAAGGTTTTTCTGGTGTCATTCAACAATCTGTCAAACTTACGAATATTAGAGTTTTTTATGTTATGAAAGATTTTATTAGGGGAGAAGTGGAAGAAATTATGTCACTTTGGAGTGAATTGAGTATGGAATGAAGTTTTTTCAACTGTCTGTGGCAGGAAGATATCTCAATTCACTCCAAAGTGACATAATTTCTTCCACTTCTCCCCTAATTTTTGATAATTTCAAATATAGGCAAGTCAGACATTACAATAAAATCTTTCATAACATAAAAAACTCTAATATTCGTAAGTTTGACAGATTATTGAGTGACACCAGAAAAACCTTGCTCAACACTCAACAAAATTGGATAAAAAATCTCAGTAATGCTGACATCCCTGATGACATTTTAAAATTTCTCTCCCTAGGGCCTAAGTTCAGTGTAGAGCCGATTGTCAACAATGACATTCCAATTAGATCAATCCTAGCCGATGTAGACACAATAGCATCCTCCATATGTGATGACACTGAAAGAAACATTTTCACAACTCGTTCCACTAACCTCATCACTAACTATTATCATAGTAACAATCTTAATAAAAAGCATTCCTTTTATCACAACCTTTTAAACAAAACTAGAACATTTCTAAAACAACATTCTGAACTTATGGTTACAAGATCTGACAAAGGCAATGTTACAGTGATAATGCTTAAACAACACTATTTAGATCTTTGCAACAAACTCATCAATGATGACCCATCATACCATGAAATTAATAGAGATCCCACACTTAAAGTGGAAAAGAAAAGTAATGACATTGTTAAGGAACTTCTTAGCACTGGACAAATAACCCAAGAACAAAAAAGAACTTTGACTACTTATAACTCTGTCCCTCCTAAATTCTATGCACTTCCGAAAATTCACAAACCTGTACTCTCAGTAAGACCTATAGTTGCATCAATAGGTTCAGCCACCCAGGCTTTGTCTTAATATCGGCAACACTAAAATCAGCACATGCAGATAATGATTACTACATCAAAGACTCATTTGAGGTCTCTCGTCAGTTCAACAGATTGCCAATACCAGCCGATCACATTATCGCCAGTCTTGATGTGGTGTCGCTATTCAGCAATATCTATCTGGATGCATGTACAAGAACTATTAATAAACACTGGAATGAGATAATTCAACACTGCAACATATCTCTAGAATCGTTCACCAACATTATAACATTCCTCTTTCATAACAATTATTTCTCTTTTAACAACAAAATATATTCTCAAACACATGGTTGTCCTATGGGATCTGTTCTATCACCAATTTTGGCAGAATATGTAATGGACGATCTGCTTGATACTGTTATTCCGACACTACCCTATAACCTCTTCTTCATAAAAAAATACGCAGATGACATTATTTTATGCCTCCCCTCCATAGGTCTGGATGGTATTGTCAGAGAATTCAACAGCTATGACCCCTACATCCAATTTACCATTGAAAAAGAAGATGAGAACCTGTCTGTCCCCTTTCTAGACACAAGACTCATCCGCACCAACAACAATAGTTTATTGGTAGACTGGTACCAGAAACCTATGGCCTCAGGTCGGTTTCTCAATTTTAGGTCATACCATAAGCTAGGGATTAAAATCAACTTGGTAAAACAGATGAAAACAAGGGTACTCAGCATCTCAGATAATACTTTCCTCACCTCAAATTTACGTAAACTATCAAAACTGTTCATCAATAATGGTTATCCGAAGTGTCTGATTAACAAGATCTTATTTAGTTCACCTTCCAATATTTTGCCGAACTCTGATGATGCAGGTAATAGTCGCACAACCCCTAATAACGGAACTGATGTAATTCCCAACAATAGCATCAATTCAAACAGTACAAGCACCAACCCGGACTCCAGACCTGGTTTTGCTGTCCTGCCCTATATCAAGGAACTGACCCCTAAGCTGATCAGATTGTGCAGTCCTTTGAACTTTCGAATTGCTTGCAAATCCGTCCTCACTATAAACTGCATTTTTTCAAAAATGAAAGACAGAGTCCCGCTGCTTGGCTTAACCAACACAGTCTACTCCATCAATTGCAACAACTGCAACCAAATATGCATAGGTCAGACCTCCAGATCTCTTAAAGGAAGGATTACATCACACAAAAGTGATTCTA